ATGCGAGGCACTACACCACGCAGGACGCTCACCGGGGAGGAGGGCAGCGGTCCAATCGAGACCCATCCACCACCGCTGATTCTCGAACACCGTAAAGAGGAAGCGGACGGGCGGTGCTGCGGCGGGTCCACCCACGTCAACGGAGCGTGAGGTTGCACTAGCATACTCGGAGAAACCAGAGATGGGTCGAGAGTCATACGACGGAGGGGGGGAGAGTGGGGAGGGAAGAGGAGTTCCGGAGAGCAGGGTACGCAAGTGATAGTATCCCCAACGAAGGTGTGCACTGCATGCAAGGGTTGCGCGTGCATTACGGGCCCATCTTGCACGATGGATGAGCACGAACGTTCCTGTTATCGCAATGCAGATATGGAGAGGAACGAAATGTGTGAGAACGAGATATGGGGGATAGATAAATGCTGATACACGAAATAACGTCAACGACGGAGGTAATGGGAGGTCTGTAAAGGGTGACGAGGGGAGGAGAGTATGTATTGTCGTCAAGTCTGATAATACAGCGTGGACAGTTGCCTCGGTGGCCGGCTGAGACGAGATTGACAAGCCATCATGCGATGACCACTTTCTTAACCCGCAGACGAACAATATCGCCAATGGCATAAAGAACCTGCATGAAAAGTATTTTTTTTAAAAGCTGGTTCGTCTATGGTACTGGGACGTACTTGAGAGTAGCTTCTGAGAACAGGCAGAGCGCCCACCATGCACCGAGAGCTAACCAGCTCTCTTCCCATGGCGATTCCCAGCTTATGATTTCCAGAAGATGTCTTACTGCTTGAATATAAGGTGCGAGTGCAACGAGCTCATAGGTGAGAGGCGCCGGGGTTGAGGTCACGAACTCGAGGAGTGTGGGTTTCGGTGAGGGAGGCACCACCGGAGTGGTTGGACGGACCGTCGGAGGAGTCGGGGACATCTGCAGACTTTTTGGACGTAAGTTGGACGTTGAGGGAGATTTGGACTTGGATGTCATCAACAGTTGCCCGTGATTTCTGTCTAATACTACGTTCAGAGGATATCAGACAGCCAAGTATTGGTATGCACACCTTGTTTTCAAGCTGTCCGCTGGGTCACTAATAGGCCGTTGGTAGCGAGCGCCTACCAATGAAGCTCGACATGCTGCTAAGGTGCGTCAACTTAGTCGTTTGCAACATACGCCTATTTGACATAGAAGCAGAGGGTTCTACCCGCGACCGCCAGTCTTCGCGGTGGGGACGGCTCTCATGGCAGTCGACCACCATGGCCACTCCTTGCTTGTCCAATCTTTCCTCAGCCGACTACTCATTTGCGTGTTGATCGTTTCGTCGACGGCACTATTGACCCTGTTTGACACATCCCCCAAACTGATCCTGGACGACAGCGTTTCCGCATGGACGAACTCTCTACTTCGCTGGGACGCCTTCCATTTCGCACACATAGCCCAGGAAGGTTTTGTGTACGAGCATGAATGGGCCTTTTTCTCCGGGATTTCACTTGTCATGCGGTGGTCCTGTTCCGTCCTATCGCTACTGGGTCTTAGTCCACCAGGGTGGCCTGCTCTCTTGATCGGTGGAGCCATCGTTGGGGCACTCTTAGATTCCACCCGCATTTTGTATCAACTTTCGCTACACCATCTGCGTTCACCCTCCGCTGCATTCCTGGCTACCATCCTCTCATTTTTCCCGAGCAGTCCTTCAGCGTCGCGGTTCGCCCCTTACAGTGAACCTTTTTTCACCTACTTTTCTTACAGAGGTATGCTTGCCTGCGTGCGATTGCAATGGCTCCACGCTTCAGTTTGCTTCGCGATCGCCGGTGCTTTCCGTTCCAACGGTGTCCTTCTCTGCGGCTTCATCATATGGGACATGCTCGTGGCTCCTCTCCTGTCTGGTCGCAAGGACTCGGTACGTGCATCTTGTGGTTCTTTGGTGTCGCCGAGGTCCATATTTGCGTTTAGCTTTCGCTGAACAGGACATTGTACTGCGTCGTTTGCGTGGCCCTACCGCTTACTCCCTTTCTCCATCACAATTATAGCGCCTTCCTTCTGTTCTGTTCGTCTACGGAGGGCCGCCCTCAGTGGTGCGAAGAAGGCATGTTACCTTCGATATACACACACGTCCAACGCGAGTATTGGGATGTCGGTTTCCTTCGTTACTGGACAATTTCTAACGTCCCAAATTTCTTAATTTCGTTACCGGTGCTCCTGAATGTATGGATCTTTTGCATGTTCTACCTCTCTCATCTCCCTCGCATCCTCTGCGGTGGTCTTGCCCAAAGGGAATGGAAGAATATCGCTCATCCTCCATTGAAGAACTCATTATTCCTCAATCCCTCCATTTTGCCTCACGTTCTTCATGGCATCTTGCTTACTCTCATCCTGATGTTTAACGCACACGTTCAGATTGCCTTGCGAGTGTTGCCTTCACTACCCATGACATACTGGGCGGCTGCTCGACTCCTTATTGAGCAACCAAGATGGGGAAAGGCGTGGGTGGCATGGAGCATAGTGTGGTGTGGGTTGAGCTGTGTTTTGTGGGCAGCCTTCCTTCCTCCTGCGTAATGCATGAGTGAGGTGACCTATCGCCGCTCCGTAGTCTGACTAAAACAACCGCAATGACATAAATATCTGACCGAGCGGGATTCGAACTTGGGTCGCCGAGGGCCCGAACAGGACGGACCTTACGAATCATTTCCTCAAATGTCTAGTCGAGTGAGCACGCCATCGCACAGCGTCATTCATGCATTAAATATCATGCCTTGCGTGATATGCTGGCTGGTCATCCATTGACCACCATGGAGCAACCCGACGCGGTGGAGGGGAGGATGTTCAGCGAGCAGCCAGACGGCACGAAGGACCATGTTCTTCCCACTGTGCACCGTGATACCTTGCACAGGGGTCTGTCAGCACGACAGGTCCAAATGATAGCTATCGCTGGTACTATTGGGACGGGCTTGTTTCTCGGCACAGGTCGATCCCTGGCTGAGGGTGGTCCTGCCAGCATGCTCATATGCTATACCCTTGTGGGATTGATAGTCTATGTTACCCTCCTTTTACTCGGAGAAATGGCTACACAATACCCAGTGGCGGGTTCCTTCAATGCGTACGCAAACCGGTTCTTCTCTCCTGCATATAGCTTTGCACTTTCGTGGAACTATTGGTTCAATGACGCCGTGTCTATGGCCTCGGATCTCACCGCTGCGCAACTCGTTCTCCAATTCTGGACAACATGGAACCCTTGGGTTGTCAGCCTCCTTTTCTGGGTGTTCCTCGTCTCTATAAATGCCGTCCACGTCAGAGCATATGGTGAGCTAGGTGAGTCAGTTTTTCTGAATGGTAATCTCTCCGTATTCACTCGTTCAGAATACTGGCTTTCATTCCTTAAGGTCATAACGATAGTCATATTCATCATTGTTGGAATACTCGTCAATGTCGGCGTTAATACATCACACAAGTATATCGGCTTTCATAACTGGACCATCCCAGACGCGCCTTTCGTGGGAGGTTTTGGTGGTTTTGCAAGGGTTTTTGTGACGGCTAGCTTTGCGTGTAAGCACTCCTCTTCAAAAGACTATGGGGTACGGAACATCATCTTCTCGCAGACGGTGGTACAGAGAGTCTCGGAGTCACCGCAGGCGAAACAAGGAATCCTTCTCGAAATATGCCGAGAGTTGTAAGATTTGTATTTTGGCGGCAAGTGGACCCATGGACTGTTTAACTTGTATCATCGCTCACATATTCGCGTAGGATTCTAATATTCTACGTACTTAGTATACTGCTAATTGGCCTGAATGGTGAGTGTCCTTTCTCTCTCGGGGACGGCTTGGCAAACCAAGTTTTTAGTACCTTGGGATTATCCTGGTTTATCAAATAAGACTACTACGACGTCACCTTTTACGATTGTCTTCCAGCTTGCGGGTTCCAGTATGTTATATTCGTGGTCTTGGGGTCGAAACAAACCTGATGGGATTCAAATAGCTGCAGCCGCTTCCTTTATAAATACAGTCATACTCACTTCCGTGCTCTCCGCCGGAAACCATGCTTTGTTTGCGGGCACGAGAGTCCTTTACGGACTCTCTGTTGTGAAGCCTCGGCGATACGCCCCTCGGATATTCTCTCGGACCACGCCTAGTGGTGTACCTGTATTTGCCTTGCTGGCGACGAGTAGCGTGAGTGTACTCTGCTTTGGAAGCAGTTACATTGGGAGTGGTCAGCTGTGGGGCTGGTTGCAGAACATCGTTGGCGTTTCAAATCAGGTATGAAATGTTGGCTGGTGGATATTAATGTGTACCAAACTGTCTTTCGCTAGATTGCATGGCTTTCCATCGGCCTGGCGAGTTGGAGATTTCGAAAGGCTTGGTTAGTGCAAGGGCGGCCTATAGAAGAGCTCAAGTTCCGCGTCGGTTGGACGTGGCCATGGGGACCCTACTTTGTGGTGCGTAGAACAGATTAATGAGTGACGTTGTCTTATCGCAACACAGATTATAACCGTGTCTGCGTTGATTCTAAGTAAGTGCTACATTTAGCAAGCCATTTTCATAGAGGTGTAGCTGACGAACCACTACAGTCCAAGGTTGGACCTCTATATACCCGACATTCTCACCCATCGACTTCGTTTCACTGTACATCGAGATACCCGTCATGGTTGTGATGTACATTGTCTGGCTCATCGTCAAGGCGACCGTGGCACGTTCCGCTCCCCCTGATGTCTCGGGAAACACACTACGGCATGCTAATGAGACCACGCCATTGACTGGTAGACGCAAGAGTCGCAAAATCGACTTAAGGGCTGCGTTTGACATTGTTGATATACTTACCGTTGATCTTCATGAGGACGAGTATGTGGAGGTTAACGAAGACGGGGCGGAGGATAGGGCACGTGAGCAGAGGTTGAGCGGTCGTTTTGGATGGTTTTGGCGGCTGTTTTATTACATTGCCTAGTCTTAGATGAATCGAAGACGACCCGAGGCGGGATCGAGGAAAGGATTTGTAGCGTTTTGATGTGCAAATTTAGCAAGTCACTTTGCCGGAGTGGTTAACGGGATCGCCTGCTAATAGCCAAGCGGTTGGGCTTTGCCCGCGAGTGTTCGAATCGCTCAGGTGACGATTTTTTGCCTTCTTTTTCCCTTTCCTACTCCTTCCCACGCCTCTCTGGCCTCTGCAGTTGATGGCTACACGCACAGTCGCACACGTCCGATGACGATGAGCGCGAACAAGTATGCCAACCTCCCTGATATTGTCTGTTGCCGTCTTCCTCCAAAGTGTCAAATCGGCTGACGGCGGTGACCCAGGATACAGCGCCAGATGTCTATGAGACTGAGGACGTCATTCCATCCTCCCATGCGGACGTATGTTCCCTGCCTATTCATCGAGATCTCTGGCTCACGCACGCTGTCGCATGTACACATCTTCAAATAGAATGGCGACTCGACCGATGACGAACCGTCTGCCGTCCGCACTCGCACCAGGGCTGCGGGCGGTGCTACATTAGCTGGCCGCGAAGAGCTTGACACAAGCAACCTCATAAGTACGGAAGATGCTAGCAAGCATTTTAGAAAAGCAGAGCGGAAACGTATGTGTCATCAGCCAACCAGTTGATGTATGCCGTATACTGAACGAGGTACTACGGACCATCTGGTCATGCAATCCAATGCGTAATGCAGGTCGACCGCGGACGCGATATGCCTATCCGCCATCACCTTCTTCCAGTCGATCACGTTCCACGTCTCGTTCACTATCCCCGACGCGTCGCTTGTCACTCCCCGCTCGATTGCGCGCTCTACAAGCAGAGTTAGCCACGCTTGAAGCAGAACTCGCTGATCCGTCAAACCCAGCGTTGCAAGCTCGTGAGAAGGGCGGCGATGTTGCTGATCCAGGCGAAATGATAATGGGACTTGTCGATGTGCGGGAGAGGCTGGAGAAAGTGAGAAACGCAAGAGAAGGCCGGGGGAAATTGGTCAGTGTGGTGCTGGGTGACAGATTCCGTGGCGGAGCTGGGGAAGAGAGGGATCGTCATGAAGGTACCCCTGAACGGAATGAAGGAGACATGGCCAAGGATAGTCATGTCAAGGACGGGGATGTCGCACCCGAGACACGGAGTATTACCGAAATGGACAAGCGCGTCGGCGAACTGGAGAAACTCATAGGATCGGTGAACGTCACACTTGACGAAGTAGGTCACTGTTTGTTTATATCAGATTCCCTGTTGAACGCTCTTCTAGACGACGCCCCTTACGCCGCCTCTTCTCCCAATGCTAATGCGACTGAACAATCAGCTCACGCTGCTCACCCAACCGCGCCACATAGACTCCGTTTCAAGGCGTTTAAAATTGCTTTTGTCTGACCTTGAGCGCGCGTCGACTAATCAAGCACAAAAACGACAGAATGGCTTGCAAGATACCCCACCAGGAAGTACCCCTGCTCAAGATGCCGTTCTCCCTTTACTTTCCCGCCTTGCTCCCTCCCTGCCACATATACCCCACATCCTGACCCGCCTTCGGACGCTCTCTTCATTGCATGGATCTGCAACCGACTTCCAAAGTACGGTTGCCGCTCTTGAAGAAGAGCAAAAGCGGACGCGAGAGGCACTGGATGCGCTGAAAACTGCTGTAGAAGGTGTCGAAAGCAGCCTGGAAGCAAACCGTACCACTGTTGCTGGTAACGTCAGCAATTTGGACGGGCGGGTCGACGACTTACTCAACAGATTAAATCTACTCTCGAAATGAGGACGGACTTACAGGGTATATGTCAAGAAATGATACACCTGTTCTGATTATACACTAAAATACAAGGATTTGACACAGCACAGATGGCAATTAATACAGTATAATTATCTTTTAAGAGATTGGTGGGTCTGATCATTCAATCTCGACTCCATGCTCCTCAAGATACTGGCGCGCATGCTGCTTAGCTTCGTCAGAAACTCGAGGGTCTACATATATCTTGCTCAGAAATCCGACTCGACATGTAAGTGACAATCTACTTACTGTGGATAGCAGCCTTATAGCCCGCCAAAACTCGAGTCCCGTGCTCCTCATCTGTTGCGTCCTGATGCCGCCCGTAAATTCCCGCGGCCTGAAGGACTTCTTCAGCGTGTTTCTTGGCCTCTTCTGAAGTGTACGGATCTAGGAAAGTTGGTTCATATCTGCGAGCTGCACAGCATCTGCGGGCGGACTCACTGCTCAGGGTGGCCTTGTAACCCGCAAGAACACGTCCTTCATCCTGTTGGGGGGAAGGCTTTTCAGCTGTCTCCTGTGGTGCGACATCGACATCCTGGCCCATTTCCCTGAGCCGTTGAATCGCGTGCTCTTTAGCTTCTTCAGACACGTGGGGGTTGTGAATTGCTGCCTTCAACCCTGCCACAACGCGTGTCGTGTCTTTGGTGTGCTCTGTTGCGCCGTCATATTAGCCCGGCGAGTGTAATTGAGGTAAAAACTGGGTGACTCAACCTGACATGGTCGCTTCCTCTCTTTTTTTATCTGTAGGGACGAGGGTAATGGGTGCTGAAAAACTTGTTGGCAATTTTTTAACGGGGGTCTCTGCCTTTTTATATTTTCCCCGTGCTCTTGCGAATGGTGGATCAGTGACGTCGCAGTGACGCATCGTTCACGTGACACGACGTGACTTACGACCTGATATGGCCGAATATGGCATTCAAGGCTTGCGTCACTGAGGGGAAAAGAATTTGGCAAACAGGTTCTAAGTTATTAACTGCGGCCCGCGACAATCACTAGCGAAGAAGAAATTGGTACTTGATTTCAACAGCATGCAATCAGAGGACTATGTGCATATTGTTGCATCCCTCTCCATTCATTCTAACATAAAGTGGAAACAAAGGCAGCCGCATCGCCATCATAAGTTGACCGACCATAAGGATCCTGTACGTTAAGAAACAATGGTTCTGGTGGATTCATTAAAGAAATGCAGAGGTTTACGTTCCAGCATCAAGTACACGTTCAATTTCTTGTAGTCACTGCTAACACCTAAGCCGCCCTCCTACGTGATTCGGTCGGACTGTCGAGGGGTTTCATCCCAACCATTCGCTCTACCACAGCCTATGATACGTTTCCAGTGTCACCACATGAAGGAAGAATCCCAATTTAAAATTTTACCTGGGCCTGGTCCCAATCCATAATCTCATCATCATCGTCTTCCTCTCGTTGCTTCTCCTCTTTCCCTGCACCAAGCCCCCAGCCACCTGTGCTCGCGCGATGGCGATGTTCTACCGACGGACGGAGTGCAGGGGGAATCTCCCTATCTGATTCCATTGCGCCAACCCGTGGCGTCTCCGCGCCTTCGTTGCTTAGTTCGTCAGGCTCCACGTGCACGTCTACGTCACCCACCCCCGAAGACGGTCCACGAGCAGCAGCCGTTCCTCCATCCGCACCGTCCGCCGTCCACCCACCTGCATTGAGGATCATCCTATCCATGTTACGTGCACCACCGATGCGTCCCCTTCGGTCACGAGGGATCCTCGCAGACGAAAAATCCGGAGTCGTGGAGCGCGCCATTGCGGATTGAGAGAAGGACCGTCGTCGCGACTGTTGATTATGGATATTATGACGCGCCTGCGAGAACAAGCGGAGAAGCTCGCTAATGGCAGCTTCATCTGTGTCGGGCTGTGCGGTGGGTACGCATGGTGACAGCGCCGGCGACGACGGCCGGGAACCCCGTTCAGATGTTAGGACCAGTAGCCTAGGGGTAGGAATTAACAATGGAGGTCAAAAAGTAACAAAACACTCAGACAAACATCTGTTGTAGCCGTGGCAACCGATATTGACCAAGTCTTGCAAGCGTTTCCTTGGTTAATGGTGGTGAGAGTAAGGCGTGAAGTCGTTTGGCCAGTGGTATCACGACACGGTAGCGAAACGCGCACAGTGCGACGCTTCGAACGTCTATTGTAGGAGATCCTTGTCGTGTGGATGAAGACGGCGCAAGTTGCTTCGGAGTGCGATGAAGCGATGTTAGCAGTGGGTCCGTCTGCAAAGGGAGTAAAGCCTGTAGTATATCACTCATTGGGTCTCTGGACAAAACAGATGATTTCAACTGTACTCACGCCCTCTATGTATGAAAGTACGTGATCCCAAAAGAAGGACCATACTTCCACTAGCCGGCCCATGAGAAAGTCGTCTGACCCTGGGACGAGTTTAGCATTTAGGGTAACCATACCAGCTTCGATAAGCTCTCTTGCATCTGCGCTGAGAGTGGCAAGAGCTTTCGAAGGCGATGCCGCCAATACGGTCTGAATGTGTCGTTTCACTAGTGCATTGAGGTCCTCTCTGAGAAATGTAAGTCACCGAATGATGGATAGCAATTCACATACATGGGTACGCGCAATGGTTCCTCGTTGAACAGGGGTAGAACGTGTACATGCAGCATGCCCCATGGGTTGTCTTTATCTGTTATGCTTGTACCAGGCAGGGTACTGCCGTGGTTATACGATGAACCAGATGCAAACGTAGAAGTCGAGGGTGAGGTAGCTGGAAGGGTAAGCGTGGAAGTTGATGGGCCAGAGGAAAGTGACGGCGCGAGCACAGGACTAAGACCAGCCAACGTGCCTAGCCGATGCATTTCCCTTGTTACTAGTTTAGCATCATACGTACGTCCTGCGGAAGGCTTTTGGGGCATTAGTTGTGTGAATGGAGAAAGAGCGGTGGTGTCGAGCTTTGCTACGACAAACCTTGGAAGGCGATGTGGTAACCTTGTTCACAATAGTACTCGAGGAGTTCACAGAAGTCATGTTATTGGCAATTTCTCTGCCGGTGGTAGGTGTTTCAGATATCGAGTAAGAGCACTGCACTTCTCTCTTGCTAACTTGTGGGGAGTGTGATTTGGACGGTGGGGAATGTTTCGCGTGGTTTTGAGTGCCCACCTGAGGGAAGAAACCTAAAATCTTTGGTTGTAGATGGTGTTGATCTTGCCGTTGCACCGGTGGCGACGCAGCGAACGGGTCGATGTTGATAACGTCAGCGTGACGTCCTGGTGGTGTGAAGGCATTGAAATTGAAACCACGATTAGCATAGGTATCGATCCCCGACTTGGAGTGAAAATAACGATGACCATCATGGCGGAAAGCAGACAAGCCTTTGAGAAGGAATCCCGAACGC